AAACTGGGACTGCATACTCGACAGGTCCTCTTCTAATCGTGGACCATTCGTGGTAGTCAAATGAGTCAAGTTTTGGAAAGGATGACCATTCCTCTTCACCAATGAAGTCGAGCAGCTGTCGTCGGCACCACTCGCGGACAAGCTTGGCTCTGCGGGCTGGAGTAGCGTCTTGCTGAAAGGACTACGAGATGTTTCAGAAAACGTAGTCGGATCAGTGCTTCCTTACTTCCATTACTACGCGTTTGAGTACTGGTCTTGGTCAATTTTCACGCCTGCACCGAAGAAACCTTGAGCGAAGTACTGGTCTTGGTCAATTTTCATGCCTGCACCGAAGAAACCATGAGTGGCTTACCCTTGCCAGTGATTTCCTCGGAAAACATCACTTTACTGTTCTGATAACAACCTTTTTGTNTCGTAGATTCGGGACGATGTCAGAAGATCCTTCAGACTTCGACAATAAGTTCTACAAGCAAAAACGAGGCCTTGCCATGGGTAACCGCATAGCACCTGTGTTAGCAGTCATCTTCTTGGACCACATCGAAAAGTCATCATTAACTAGTGGAATTTTGTTCTACAAACGTTATATTGATGACGTATTCATTATCGGAACAACGGAAGAAGACCTTGTGGAAACATTGGAGAGACTGAACTCTCACGATGCTAACATAACCTTCACCAGGGAAGATCCGGGGAGGGATGGATTCCTTCCATTCCTCAATGCGAAAACACGAATAAGTGAAGGTCATAAGGAACACCTATGGTATAGAAAAAGTGCCTCGTCGAACATCTTGTTGCATTCTAGAAGCGCACATCCTGCTTATATGAAGGCAAACGTCGTGCGGAATCTTTTGAAAACGAAGGAGAAGCTTGGGACGCGAAAGGATTCAGTTGTCGATGCCAAAATTGAAAGTATCCTTGAAAGCAATGGATACTTCGAGGGCAATACGAGGACATGGGTCCCGCACAGGACGGCTGATGGTGTTAGCCTCATTGTACCTTTTGTCAACGACAAATTGGCACGTGAGGTGAATCGCGTCGTCAAGAACTCTCAGCTTCCCATTCGACTTGTTTTCCGACCTCCCCCTACGCTGAAGGATCTTCTGACATCGTCCCGAATCTACGAAAAACGGTGCCACGAACAGTCGTGTCGATACTGCACTTCTGAGAACATCTGTGAACTTCAGGGCACCGTCTATTTGATTCAATGTGGAGGATGTGGAGAAAAGTACGTGGGGGAGACCGCGAGACCGCTGAAGATCCGTCTGGACGAACATAGAAGAGCGTTGGCCAATCCCGCTGCCTATCCACACAGCAGTTTTTCTAGGCACCGTACACTCAGGCATGAGAAAGAAAGCGCTCCATCCTTTGATGTGAGGGTTTTGCATCGATATTTGGTACGGCCACTGGAAAGGAAAATCATGGAGGCACGGGAAATATACCGCATCAAGCCGGAAATCAATGCGAAAGAGGAGATGCGTGACCTACTGAGACTGATTGAGTGATAACACTTAGTCGCCTCAGGACAAGAGCGGTGTCCATTTTCCCTTTGAGTTCCCCGCCGACAGGTCCATTTCCCCCTTTTCCCCAACATTTCCGGTTGACTTGGTATGATTCGATGTGTTTTGTATTGTAACTGATAGTGACAGATTGTATGCAGCAATGTATTGTAAATAATTAAGGTCTGACGAAGGCATTATATGCCGAAAGCTCACCAATAAAAGTGAAGAGCATAGAGCTTCGAAAAGTACACAAAACGACAAGATATCTAATGACAGTTAATGTGAATTTGATAAATTAGTTCTACCTTAGAAATTTCCGAATTTTAGCGCCAATAACTTCGGGATACCCCGTACTTTTTCAGTGCTTTCTAGTGCCGTACGGGTGCATTGCATGGTTTAATAGAATTTGCCAGTTTTTTGATTCATATTCCTTATATGCAGGTAAATAGGAAGACAGCGAGTCTTCCAGAGCAAATTTTGATTACGCTGGACAGTACCTTGGAGGTGTTGAAGTAGACTGAAGTGTTACGCGAAACTATGATTCAGCAGAAGTTACCTCAAGCCCACTACATGATTGCACTGCAAGAAACCAGCGAAGGAATATAGCATCCGTTCCAGGAAACTCAACGTCTGGCCAACTTACTGCCTATGAATTTGCCTCACGTCACAGTCCGCGCTGTACGAATTGGCAAATACGATCTACCGGCAGGGACAGGAGTTGTTCCGCAGATTAGTAATGTGCTCTACGACAGTGAGGTGAATGAATTAAGTGTTGTGTTACTAGTTGACGTTGTATTTTTAGACGTAAACTTGAAGAATTTTCATACAATGATCACTCTCCATTAGCGTGGAAAAGAGGAAAATGAGATGTATTGGCATGCACTTTTTTTTCTTAATTCTCGGAAGTTACGCTCAAAGCTGAAGGTTGAACTCATTGAAAGATATCGATCGGAGTCGAATAAGCCAGAATAGTCCGAATGTCGAGGGCAATAATATTCCGACAGAAGTGCAGTTGCGGTATCACGAATAGCCTTCATGGTTTTCGACCTCTCTCAGAGCAAATGAAATCAGCCGGCATAAAATCTTTGAATATTCGGCTGAATTATGATAGCGCATCATTTTTATCTCTTACTTATCAGTAACGACTTATAGAAAGTCGCAGTTTTTTGTCATATCGCGTTCGATGAATTTCAACAAAGTCATCTCTGACCATCACTTGCTTTCATGTTCGGAAAATGCGATTTTTCTCCAATCATTCGAAATGTTCTTTTTTTTTGTGAAGGAAAACCTTTTGAGCGCATCAATACATTTTTCGGCCACCCCTTCGCCTACTAAATTGAACCGTATTTCTGCCGCAATTGAGTACATAGTACCGGGTGCGCCATAATATGGTGACGACTTCTCGGACGTCCTAGATTTTCTTGTTTGACTTCCCCTTAGGTTTATGATATACCTTAGACTACATATCTATTTTGGTGCTCTCAATTAGTCAGATTTTGAAAAACGGTAGAGCCCCGCAAACATCCACCAGTCGTTCCGTCTTTGCGCGCATTTGGTGAGTCCCTTTCCGGAATCGCTCCTCGTTTCAACATTTTCCCCACTGACAGTTTCTTGAATCGCGATACGTAGACAGGTCGGAGCAAACCTCAAGACGGTCGTCTCGCCTCTCATGCAACCCTTTTTCCGAATAGAATAGCCTGGGAAGGAGTACGCTGCACAACCCACCGAAATACGAGAAGAATGACTGCTAATATGTTTGTATGCCCTACTCCGATGAGAAGAGTCTACTCCTAGTAAATACAATTGCATTAAGATAAGATTCGAAAGCCCTATAAGCTTCTTGACGAGAACAATTTGGAGAGCAAAAACAAATACCGTGCGCTACTTGCGCGCGACTTGCGCTCCGACAGAGTTTTTCTGATTAAAGGGTGTTCAGCGTGGAAGAAATGTTGAGACTCAAAAGTATACATAGATTTCACATTTTCAGTGCTGAATCCGCTTTTAAGAATTAAATCGCCTCTCATAGCCATTTTCCCTTTTTGATGATAGTTTTTGCAAGAAACTCTACCATAAGAGCGATATCGCAAATTTTGGTCGAGAAAAAAACAAAATTTAATCCAAAACTCTTCAAAAAGGGTCCTTCTGAAAGGATGCAGCTGAGGGTCAAAGATTTCTTTTAAGATACGTTCCAAAAACTACAGTGCACCTGCTCACGGATGGGAAAAGGTAAGACTGGCGCTGAGGGAGTGGTCGTGACATTATCACGCTTCCAATCATCCTACGAATTTAACGGACCATGTGTGATAGGTTGCTGTATATAGTTCATACTGGAGAGGAAAGCCTGTGCTTCATAATGCACCATTGTTGCAGCTCCTAAGACATCATCGAAAAAATCCCAGGCTGGAGTTTTTCAAGAAGCTCTGCGTGCCACCGTCGAGGAATAGTCGAAGCGTCTTCAAGCTATAATTAGTACAGGAGACGGTTATCTAAGATGACCGTGTGTTCATTTGTAGATGTGATGCATAGTAGATAACTATCATAAATTTACCTTGTATTAATATGAACTGCTGTTTTTGTAACCCAATTCTTTTGTTACCAAATTTATGGCGCATCCTGTATTAGTATTTTGAACCAATTCAAACTGCACTTATTTCCAGGTTGTTTTTACTGAACTTTTTATCCGTGATCAACAGAATTATCGGAAGATTATGTTGGAGGGTAACATGTTCAACTCATGAGAACATTTACAGGTGTTTCCGGCTCCACATAGCTTCAATCCTTCAAGATTTATTGATGAAAATGGCAAGTTGAAGAAGGTTTGTGTAATCGCAATGGTAAGCCAGAAATCGAGCCTAACGCTTTGAGAATCTGTCTGTTCAGGTGGAGGAATTGATACCGTTCTCTATTGGAAAACGACAATGTCTGGGAGAAGGGCTGGCAAAAATGGAACTCTTTTTGTTCATTGCGAATCTCTTCAATCGCTTTGAGGTAAAAACCCTAGTTCAGAAGACTCACTTGAATCTACGTTCTATTTTAAGCTTTCATGCGAGAATCCCAGCGAACCACCCTCGATGAAGAAGACGTTTGGCACTACGGTACAACCGTACGAGTATCACTGCTTTGCAAAGTCAAGATTTTGATATTAGGAGGAACGAATGAAATTTTCTATGGATTTGTCGTTCTGCATAGGGGGCACGTGTTTGTATGAGTTTGAGACAAGCTCGAAGCATTTGCCCGAATAATGTAGATTTTCTTTTGCCACTATCGTTTTTTGAGGATTTAGACCCGATTCATCGGCTAGATCCAATTAGTGACTGAGCCCAGAGCGGATCCGAACTTTCTACGACTGTGATTAAAACTCGAACAGAAGATGTTTCCAGAAATAATTGGTCACCTGCAAGTTGCCCATAGTTACAGTGAGCTGCAGAAGGGATAAATAATAAAATGTTTATTCTATCACAAGAAAGACAACATTATTTAAAAACCAATTGAATGCAAAGTGAAGCTAATCTCGTATACAGATCGGAATGGAAAACATAAAACTTCACTATGTACGATGTTATCGAATTCCTTTACCGATCAATATGACCCGGACAATTTGCGAAATACAAACAAAAACACATTTGTATCAATAATAAAAGTTAATCTACATTATCTCTCTCTCATGTCTAAGGTTACGAATATCACAGTCAATACCAATACAACAAATTACACAAATTGGACAAAATTTCAATGGAATATGGGAGGTTTCGATCGATCACCTATTACTGATGTCTACGGAACCTACAAGAGCGTCTGTATAACTTTCTGGTCCACACAGTTTCCCATTTCGTAACACAGGGAAAAAGGCAAAAAACAGCAGTTTACTCTGGAACCAGGTGTGATAAGCTGACTAAATTCTCGAAAAGTGGGATTGGGATTGTTCCCGAGGGAAAAGATCTGTTTATCTGAACGTATCTAAAAGTTGCGACTTGAAAGGTGAAAGCTTGGCAAAGGCAACGGATAAAAAGCGGGATTCATTAAGGTTCTTTTTCCAGGAGAAAATACTCAGTTCGCTGTATTCAAAAAGGGAGGGGAAGGTAGGAGGGAATTGCTGAAGCAGAGATGCATGAGACTCGAATACGTTAGACTACACAAAGCTCTTCAATTTGTCTTCACTAACACGTCATCTGAGCCTCTGGACGATTTGGTAGAAAATTCTTAATAAGTTTTTCGGTAGACACTTGTCTTCTAATCTAAATTGGGAGAGAGGTTGCGCAAAGGTGCTTGAGCAGATGACACTCACTCACTGTCTGAGAAAGCAGACCAGATGGAGGCCGTTGATAGATGAAAATGAACGGTCTAGCTTAGCTTAGATATGAACCAGCAGTCGAGCAACTGACGTTGCCAAGGTCATCGTCATCAACATCCAAGACGGCAGGCGAGCAGAAGAGGTAACGTCCTGGGTTCTGTCAGGAATTCTGTCCTGAAATAGTTGATGCAGAGATAGATGACATTACAGAGTTACAAAGCGTTAAAAGGAGGAGTTACATGCGAAGACAGATGTTATTGAAGTCAGGAATAAGCAAGGAATGTACGGGGAAAAATTGAGCGAAGTGCTTATATCTGGTGACTTCTTGCTTGCTGATGCCGGTTGGCATCAGGAAATAACACGAGTTTCTCTCTCTAGTGTTGCATTCCTATGACTGAATGCCAGTCCGAGAAATTGGGCAGACGCGCTGCTGCAGAGCTCCCGATTTTTCTACAGCCTTTCTGAGCTGCTTCTCGAAGCAGTAATAACAAAAAAATCGCCCTCTCCCCCCGTTCCTTCCTCCCACCTCCACCACACGCACATATATGTCCCCATTAACAACCATTGCCCAATCCCGGCCCTCGAGGACACGTCTTCAAGCGAATCTGTTTTCCCTTCTGAAGGTCCCAACAGGTTCTTGGCAAAAGCGAATGAGTAAGATTTTTTTTTGATTATTCAAAGGCTCTTACCGTTGTAGTTTGTTTCTCGTTTTTTTCTTTCCACTCTCGATCGTATTCAGCAAAGTCGATTGGAACCAAATCTAAAGAGATTTCATAATTGGCTTTATGTTCTTCAGCTGAACAAGAAATAAATTTGGGGTGCAATCGGGAAGGGAGGAATGGAAACAGATCGTAACCGCTACGTAGCAAAAATAATTTTGTTCAGCGTAAGAAAGAATCGAAAAGATGAAAACGAAACTTTCGGGAAAGGCTTTCCATTGAGCCTCAAAAAACTCCAATTCTCGTCGAAAAGACTGAGGATGATGCCTTGCAAGATTATCTGGCTGCCATCTTTCACTTTTAACTATGGCGAACTTTGAAAACATCAGATGGCCTTTAGATTGCTTTGCAGACACCCGGTATGCTAGTCCCATCCATCCCTGGGTCCCTTCTTGAAGTTTTTGTAGAATGTTTTGATTGAACGATATTAATTTTAGTTTGTTTCACTCATATCTCGCCACGATGCTTGCGAACGGTTGATATTGCCTTCCCACATTCTCCAGCTCACTTTCATTCGATTCAGAAGTAGAAAAGCAAGTTTGTTCAGCTCATCGGGCCCTGAATTCCAGGGGCGGGCGCACTCCTTGTTACGACCTTGTTTTGCTGACAAGCTATTAAGAAACTACTCAAACTGCACGGAGGGTCGGTATGGCGTCATTCGGCGAGAAAGAAATGCAAAGTACGCAATAAGTCTCCAAAAAACAGGAAATGACGCTTTTAAAAGAACATTTTTCTCAAGTAGATATGTCAATAAAACAGAGGAGACGTGCGTTTGCCGCAACCGTGAAAAAAAAAGTTAAAGAGCGAAAATCAGCAATGTTTTTGAACGTGATCCGCAACACCAATCGAACATCCTAAATGTCGCGATCTTCTTACATATCATCCAGAAAACCCACTTCTGAAGCAAGTTCTCAGCTATTTTTTCTGATTTTTCTTTTGGTGAGCCCCTTACTTTCCTAGAACTTCATTTTTGGACACCAAAATGTATGTATGCCTACCTAGGCGGAATGTGCCTCTGAACAGCACCAGGACTCTTTTGTACAAGGGCCACGCATACCCCTTAATATAATCTCATTATGATTACACTTAGTCGTTTCTTTCCATATAACATCATTACCCTTGGTTCAACTAAGAATAATTTCACTTCACTAAGGATTCTTGCAAATTTGCCAGATACGCTGCCAGTTACTAGATAACCCCAGTGTTCATTGCTCAAGTTTAGATAAAATATCATCCGTTCTTGAGCTTCAACTAGAGTGTTGGGCATGGATAACCGTTTGATCGATATTCTCCAGATTTCACAGTGCATTGGAGGGTTACTGTCAGCATCAGATGGAGTACCGTGCATCACTCGGGGAACTTCGACGGCGCATTTGTTAACGTCATTTTGAGAAGAATTTCAAACGAAATTCAGGCTAAAAATTTGCATTCCATAGAGTGCTTCTTCAACAGATAATGACTGACGGAAATCTTAAACTCCCTCAATACATCTTTTCCTAGCAAGCATGCTATTTGCATGTCATGTTTGGATGGAGACTTCAATTGCGCTGCGCATTGAATTTCTTGTGGTAGAAAGAAGATAGAATAAATCTCATTTATCATGCATACCTTTAGTTTGACTCGACTCACACCAACATTAAGCAAATTGCTGGATGTCGGATCAATTAAACGAATGGATTACTTGCGCCGGATCTGCCCACCGATTATAATGTTTCTTTTGTTTCCAATTCCTTCTTCGCCACACATTTTTCTGACTTAAGTGTGATTGCCCAGTTTTTATCGTTCGGAGCTATTCCCTGTTATGTGAGGTTTACGAGGAGGATATACTCTAATACTCGTTATTATATACACAGCAATCTATTCCCACTGTTAACAATAGGCCGATTATAGCAGAAAGGTGACAGAATTGCCGGAGCAACAACGATGTAGAATCGGAACCACGTGCGCGTGCAGGTCGATGATGAAAGACTAGCGTAATGTGCCACAAACGGTGGCACAAATTCCGAATAAAGGCTCATTTCTGGAGGAGCTCCGATTCTTACCTTCATCATCGACACTACCAGCCGTTCTTGGGTCCGCCGTCATCGCAGCTGGGAACATGACATTCTCTGGCATCGGAGCGGCCCCATCACCCTGAAATATCGTAGCTATTGAAGGAAATTCTTATAAACCAGTTGGTTGGAAATAATTTAATAAGACATGTTCAGGACCTCTCTACTCAGGACTTACTAACCTCGCCAGAATCACTGTTGTGATCATGGTAGTCGAGTAGTGGATTGTGTTTAAGGAACTGGGCATCGGGCAGTATCGGATACGTCGGCTCTGAAGAACACAATGAAAAGGATTGAACATTATTTTCTATTTCTTCAAAGGCAAGCGAATATGTATGGAAAGAGAGTCACCCAGTGAATGTTTTGGAAATAAATATATTGTGACAGAAACACAAATGGCTCACTTTCTGATCCTTTGCTTTTGTCCACCAAGCGGTTGCAAAAGTCTGTGTAGCACATGCAGTGCCGTCCTCGGCCGTCCGGCTCCAGCCAACAACCAGATTTTTGCTCAATTTTCTCATCTAAAATGATTATATCGAAAGAAATTCGGCTACCAGTTGTTGATGACTCTCAGAAGCTCTCAGAAGCTTAGGCACTCTGACTTGGTGGTCTGTTAACTGCTGGTATTTCTCCACAGTACGAAAGCCCCAGACTGGCGAGTTATGAGCAAGACAGCAAGACTTGGCACAATGACAGCACAATTACGGGCTCAGCTGCACTCGAACCCGTAATTGTGCTTTCTGAGCACCGTGCTCTTTATCCCAGAGACGACCTAACGAGACCACCATCGCCCTCGCATTCATCGTGAGTCAAAAGTAAAGAATCAGGACATTTTACAACTTAATGGTTGAATGCTGATGTTGGCCAATCAGTTCATCACGTCGTCTACTCGGTACATAGTGTAAGGGTCAAAAGCACTCGGAAGGCACATGTACGGGTTTTAGTCCTGTCCGAGGCCGGAATTTCGCCCATAACTCGCAAAATTAAGAGACGCAGTCTCTCTGTCATTTCGCCATGTCATTTTGTGAACCATCAAGTGAGCCACTAGCCCATGAAGTGTAATGACCAGAATGACCTCCAATTTTTTCGGGTTCAGGGCAATCGAACCCCAGTAAATATAAAGCGATAGTATGAAGGACAGACCTTTCATTGCCAGCAAGCAAAAAGCTGTCATAGTGTTGTTGTCATCGCCGGCGTCAACTGAAACAACACACAATTATAAACAATTAACTTCCTAGCTGTAGATGCTCATTCTTTTTGCTTAGCTGGCTCTCCTAGCTCAAATGAAACCAAAAGCCTCCTCGAAATTGCACCAGGCTCATCCGGTCTTCATTTTCACAAGTAAAATGACTCTTGAATACGAATTTTCATTTGACATTCGGTATTTATTTGTTTATCTATTTATCATTTCCGTACAGTCCCAAACTTGAAGCTTCCGAACTGACTTGCCAACCTCATAAAATATTGGTAAGCCTCTGTTTGAACTAGTGCTTTTAATCTCTTAGTCAAGTCTGGTACTAGTAGACTTGACTGGGAGATTTAAAGAGGTAGCTTAAAAAAAACTTGGCTTATCTTTCAAGCCTCTTAACCGCCCATTTTTTCTGGAACCCATACTGTTTCAGTCGACATGCCAATAGTCAGGAATGCAGCTGGGAAAAAGCATTTGATCCTAGAAATTCTTCAAACCTACAGATCATACAGGCGAGGCCCGTGCAGCTTCTGTCTTTCGTGCACGCGGCATGATCTGGTCCAGTACCGTAACAGTCGTAACATGTGACAGCGAAACATGATGAAACGAACAGTGAATGGAGAACCCAACGGATCATCTCTGTAAGTGAACACCATGGAATTGATATCACGCGTGGTGACAAAGTCGAATATCGCGAACTTTGTTCAATGAACGAGTAGAGAGCAAAGGGAAATAGTTTGGAGCCAGATAACTTCATTACAATGCGCTGAAAGCATAACAGAAATTCATTTCGTTTCAGAAATCCGATACCGAAACATGAGTGGATGCTTAATGAGCAATGTCCCCTTGCACCCTCTACATATTGCCGAAATACGTAATTGTCGGAATGACGCAGGCGACACACTCAGAGAGCAGATTTCGTGATACAGTAATCACATTCAATTGAGAAAAGAAGCACTGGAAGATTGACAAAATACATCACATACGCTAATCATAAAGAAAGTTTTGAGCAATTAGTCAGTGAGGTCTGAGCCCACAATCAGTTACTGTAGAACGAGATCTGCGGGCTTCGAAACCTAATTTGGTTAACAAGGTCGATGTGATTCACTGGGGCGCGTGATACAACGCGGCTGTTCAATGACAACCGTTTTTTCTCGATTTTGGTGTGCTTGGCCGACATTTCATTCTACCGTAATAATTCGTAATTGAATTCGCATGATAAATCTGAAAAGGGAGTAAAAGATAGATGGAGGAGGAATAAGCAATACAGGAAGGTGAAGGACTTTCGAGGAAACCTGCATATTCTATGAGAGTGATAAACAAAATAAAGAAGAGAAACTCAGTGGTCTTTCAAATGTCACTACTATAGCTTATCTGAAGGTTCACGAGAGCCGAAATTTTGAAATATGTCTTGCGCAGACGAAACGGTGGGAGTTCTGGGTCAGCAAGGGTATTTACTAATTCGGCGCCGATCTCAAAGAACATTAAACATGATTGATGAAGTCTTGAGAAAAGGAATCTTAACGAAATACATTTTACCCCTTGAAAAGTTGAAGATCATTTGGCATTACGACAAAATGGAGCATAGCAGCCTTGAGAATGCAGCAGGCTGAAATAATGAGTAGGGTGAATGCGAAATGTGACAGATTTATAGTGACAATGCATATCACTTCTTATAACCTTTATGGGGATCGAGGCATGTAGCGTAGCTCTGCTATTGTAAACGACCCAGCTCAAGATTGCCCTCTCCCATCATGAGTATAAGCATTCCAAGGGAGCCCATCTAAGGATCTAGTCATGCAACGATGCCCCTCGAGAAATAGAACTGCAAAAAATGTGCCCATTATCGCGTTGAATGGGGAATTTCTTTGATGCTGCTTGCTGATGAGACAGAATTTGAATAGAAATTCCAACCAGCAGAAAATAAGGCGTCGTGAAAAGGGTGCAGACAGGGAGCTTGTAGAGATATAACCTACATCAAGCTTACAGCAAATCTCTAGGATGTAATGATCTTAGCTGACAGCAGCTCTGGCCATTTTGAGAAAGTTTGAACTCCCATCTAGGAATTCATGAAATGTTTGAAATGCCTGTTAAAAGTATATTACGCCCTTAAAAAACAAATTATCGTCGTGGGAAAAATTCAATCGAAAAAAGGAGGCGGTGCATGAATTAAACAGCGCACGTGATCCTGTTCCAGAAACATTTTGCTAATTGGGTTTGATGGTGTAGTTACAAATGTGACAAGGGCAGTTGTGTATCAAACTTACTGACGCCAATGGAGTTTTACTTTCTTTCGGTTCTTCTTTTCGGCGATGAAATAAGAGTATCAAAACATTGGGCGACCTACTAAAAGTGTAGGCTCACAATCACGATAAAGAGTAAAGGATAAAGTCATTTCACAACGATTAATTCCTTTCTGGTATGCGTCTCTCCTACAAAGTTTTTATAGTTGAATCGTTTTGAATGCATATGAAGTCTATACAATGGATTGCAATGGCCAGCAGAAGGATGTATTTCCCCAGATGAGCCTGCTAGCAATCAGCCAAATCCTGAGGGAAGAAGGGCCAGGTAGACCTAGGCGGGTATCGAATCGAATTATCCGGACCATACATGTGATAGAGCCTCACGTAGCTCTACACCACCATCACTTTCACAAATAATACAAGTTCAAAAACTTCCTAGAATCCTAATTTCACTGGAATGTTCGAAGCTTTGTGAAGAAGCAAAGCGGAACTGCCCGTTTTCTACCGTTGTGACTTTTCTATCGGACCTTGTTCTAGTTTATTGCTTTCTTTCTTTACCATCATTTCACCCAATTCGCAAACTGCTGCAGGGCTCATGTTTCCAGGTTTGTTCAAATTCACATACCCTCACATTTTTGGTTCAACCATCCTCGCCACAATTTAAAAAAAATCAGTAAACACTCATAGATAAGTCATTTGTTGAAAGACTTGATAGATTATCACGGAAAAAGTTGGAATTAGATCTAAGTGGATAGTAACATTTTCCAAAGAATTTCCAGAGAGAATTCCCATCAGGCATCCCGTAAGATACAGCTGAGAATAGAATGCCAGTTCTCATCAGAAATGACAGTCAGAAACAAACAACGATTGTGTCAAGGCACTCATCATGAGAATCGTTTTCGAGTAGGTAACGGTGACTGTTCAGCCACGAGGGTCTATATGGAGACAATGGGGTTATTGAGCGTTGCTGGCTTCATTATTCATAACATTATTCCAATTGTGGAGCATAGTTGTTTTCACTCTGGGATACATGCATGATCGCAAACAATTAAGCAACATGGCAATTGTAGCCAACGTTTTTTTGCCCAACGACAAATCGATAGCAGATGAAAAGTAGCACTGAAATAGCCTGGTTGTCAGGAAATCCCCTTCTTCAATAGCTTTGACGGATTAGCCTTATGCCAGCGATATGTCTTAATAGACTCAGAATAGCTTTGAAGCGAGCAGGTTTATAAGATGTGTCAGGAGAGGCTTTGCAAGGGAAAAAAGTGAAACGAGCACCTCAATGAATACTCAGGGCCAAAATGAGTTGATGGTTGTTCTTGATATAAAAGGATATCAGCTGAAACTTTGGAAGCGAAAAATTAACCCGAAAGAGAAAGCAAGCAATTACATCCAACAGAAGCGAGAAGGATATGATCACATTTGTAATTCCCTCTTAATGCATGACGGATTAAGCCTTTCTTCGTGTTCGGGGTTGAAGTTTCATTCAGATAGCTATTGAGTAGTAGATAACTAAAGTTTTATTTGAATAACTACTTGAGCTAGAACCTAAATGAAGAATAGGGCAGTTGTTCTGAAAAGGGTTTTTATTTCCTCATAAAAGTTAGTTCTAAATAAATGAAAACGGAAAGACATTCGGCTCGTACAAAACAGCAGGATCTGATTTTATTGATTGTGCAGGGCTGTGCCACTCAGATCCAGACCGTATTGCCTGAAAAATTTGGGTAGAGCACCTCAGAAGCAGCTCAGCCCAATCAACAGCAAGACACAATTTCTGCACTGATATGGTCATTCTGAAAAATCATACTCAGTTTCGCAGTCACTGAAGCTTTTACGCTACTGGAGCGTAACTGAAGGGACTTTTCCCAGAGGTTTCTTAGTCGCTGCAGTTGATTCAAAATCATATGATGATCGGTTGTGATTGAATTCACCTTATTGCTAATCACAGCATAATTCGTCAAGTGTTGCAGCCATTGCGTAGAAAATATTATACCTCACAGATATTCACAGATACAGAGCAGTGGTTTTTTACAGATACAGAGCAGCGGCAGAAGGTAGTAGGGGATGTCGTCTACGAGAACACGATTGAAAGGATAAAACTAGGAAAGAGCACGATTGAAGGGATAAAACTACGATTTAGAGCTTTCTTAGGAGAATTGGTTGAGGATGACATTGGGACAGAAACTACATATTCGGTAGGACGTCATCGAGTCATCAAGAAAGCGACTGAATGAGCTAAAATAACCGAACATAGACTATCCTAGATGACAATGAAGCCATGCTAGGGTAAGTTACAAAAGTACAAACTCTGAAACATAGTCGTTATTAGTGATTTCAAAACATTTCGGGCTGAGAATCGCATTCGAGATGCACCTAGACTGAATAAGTAGGCAAGCTATAGGCAACGGGTTATGCAAATGAGTAGCTATGCAGCTACTTAGAAAAACACGTTCCACCACAAATGCAGATTTGTCGAATTTATTATAAGTCTCTTGGCATATGAAAAGAAAAGTGACAACGACCGGTATTTTCTTGCATTTACCGTGTTCTCTTCTATAGAGCACTCCCCCATCTCATGAACATCAGCTCTTCAAATGTTGCAGTCTAATATTCCCTCAGCACTCCTCTTTAGGAGATGCTACTACCTTACTTTTCAACCTATCCCTTGCCCAGCCAGAGGTCGAACCCATTCCGATCAGCGGTTAGGACGAAATTATCTGAACGAGCCACCTGACGATCTAATTTGAACCACTCTCGGTGAGTAAAAAAGAAAAAAAGAAAGAAGGAAAAGGTCTACGAACAACTAGAATAACAGAAACACAGCTGTTGTTCTTGTTCCGGGTGGTGGTCTCGCCTTAGTCATACGTCTCCTCTATTATACTAAGACTCTTTAGCACGTGAGTAACTTGTTTCAATAAACAGTAAACAAGAGAGCTGAGTAGGGAAGCTGGAAGAAAGTAACTCACAAAGAGATTAAAATCACTGACAGACTTTTCTTTGAGGCAGAAGGTTCTCGCCCTACTAACCAATACGCCATCAATCATTCATACACTGGTACGAATCGAGTAATATTTCTTTTTTTGCAAAAAGAATTGTTCCATTGGATTGGCTAGGCAAGATCTCAAACTGCAAAAGTACTACTTTTGGGTTGCACTCTGCGCCTGATCAGCTGAAAATCTCATGGAGCCCATAGAGTGTGTGCATCTGAAAATGTGCTATTTAAATGGGAATCCTAAAAAACTGCATCGTGCACATACATTATCCTTTGGAATGCGTCAGGCATATCAGTCACGCCAGGTGGAGAAGTCTATTTATTTTTACGATGTGTGCAAGATATAAACCCTTACCAATAATCTGGAAAAAAACAGAAGAAGGCCCCCGCTTCATAACA